TTTTTTTCTGTTGAAAGACCATCAAAATGGAGGATGGATCAACAAAGATACTTTGGAATACTGTTAGAAAATATCTCTGGGTCCGCTCCTGTTATTGACCATGTTACCTGTTGTGCATAAAATTCAGTGTTGACTGACAGTGCTATTATAAGCATTATTTATTATTGCATCAAAGTTGACAAAATGACCTATTTTGCATCTTTATTTTTTGTTTTTTGTCTGTACATTTGATAGCTTTGCCGCCTTGTTTGTCATTATTTTTTGAAGTTAAGATATTTGAAAACAAATGTGTAGATAATGTAGATCTGCAAGAATCTAAAGCTCAAGGTAAATAGGAAAACAGAATAAACACAAAACTTTATCCTTTGTTCTAATAAAGGCTTTATTTTTAAACTATGGTTATGGTAGTACATTCTGTATGTATGATATGATATTATACTTTTTATTTGCAGTTGAATTGGATGAGTGTCCCCACTGCAAGGAGAGAAATATCCAGAAGTTGTCAGAATGTGAATACTGTGCAACATCACTGAGGCAGATGGGTAAGAAAGACCAATATGTTTTTCATGGAATACCAGTATATATCGGTATAAGGCCAGTATATAACACAACCATGACAACTTGTGGTGATGATTTTGTCCCAGAAAGCACTTCAGGTTTTGAGAGCCTCTTTCTCATCCTGTTGCTAAGAAACATATGTTAATTTAATTGAAACCTGAAATTTGCATCATATCAGCACCATAGGTTATGTGATTTTATGGATGTTTTTATATCTGGAAATAGCTTTATGTCATATTGGAATACCTATATATGTTATGAAAATTAGCTTTTTGTCTGGATTTCGTGTTCATGGAAAGGAGCAATAGTAGTGGCATAATATATGATTTGATCTTTCTGTAGAAGGTGTACAGGAAGGCAAATTTCAAAGCAAATGGTTTTCTAGAATGGGTGGTAGAAAGTTCCCTCTTATGACTTAGCTACGTATGACCTTTCCTCAAGTGGAAAAATGTTCTTCAATGAATTCCATGAATACATGGTGGTGCTTACCATGTAGGCAGCTCAGTCCTCTTGGAACTGTTTGTTCTTATGTCTTATTTCTTCTAATTTCCAGTTTTCATTCTTATGTTTTTCAGAGCTAGTGGTTTCAAAGAAAAAAGAATTAAAGGGTAATAAACTACAGCGTTTGTTGGATAGGAACAGAGTCCCTCTCTGGTTGTTTCCACAGGTTTGTAGGTTTTCTTGATAAATTTTCTTTCTTTTTTATTATTATTATTTTTACTACTTACCAAGAAGAGACAAAGAACAAGGTCATTGTTGGAAAAAACAAAGCTTGAATAAAGTAAAGTGAACAATGCTTCACTTCATAGCAAAAATTAGACATTTTTTTCTGAAGGCACTGATCATATTAGCAAGTACAAAAGATTATATAGATTTAACTAATGATATTTGAAAAAAGAATTACCCATGATGAAATATAAAAATTGATTGAAAGGTTTCAGATTTATTCAGTTGTTAAAAATAATAAGATTTTTAGTTGTTTTTTAATATATTGCTTTTCATGAAGGATAATCCATTTTCATTATCATTTTCACAAACTGTAAGCTGGGGGAAGGGGAGGGGTTAATGCCATCAGTACCCAGGGCTGTGCTGGCAAAGGTCATCTGTTTTAGCTTTTGACCATGACAATGGAGGATGGATCAACTCTTTGAAAGGGAGGGGTTTGGAAAAAGGCTTTTCTTTTTAGACTTATGAAATTGATGATAAAAACAGGTGGCCCCTTAGTTAAATTGATAAAGCAAAACACAGCAATGTATTCAGTCTGCACCTTGAAAACACATTTGTTAAACTCTTCTTTCATTGTGATGCTGTATAGATAATAAGATTATAAAGATGTTCAGTTTTTATATACTAATATGGTTGTGTTTTTAGTGTCAGCGGGCAAATATGGAGCCTTACCCCACACCATTGGCAGATCAGATATTTAGTCGCGGTTGTGAAATGCATATTCAGGCACCAGCACGTGAGTTCAGCATTTCATTGAGGAAAAAGTGCTTTTATAGATATCTGTCAAAATTGTCAGTATAAGATACATATAGGCCTAAGTCATTGTTGTAGTTGTCACTGATACTGTCACACACTTTTGCTCACACCATAACTCCCTAAAGCATGTTTTTGTTTTATTTAAAATTTACTGGTAGATTTTTCCTGGTTGGGGGGGGGCTTGATAATATTTATGTATCTTTTTGCATGCAATTTTTTGTGACATTTAAACCACCAATATGCCACACTTTATGTTTGGTTTACTATACATTTGCTTAGTGAAAAGGTTTTGCTTGGTGAAAAGGCAGGTTGAGTTTGAAAATCGGCATAATCGGTAAATTTCCACCAAAAGTTATTGGCACATTCTATTGTATTTTGTTAAACTATTGACCAATGTTTCTTTACTACAAGATATTGGGTTTCATAAGGCTTGTGACATTTGGAATTGTTACAAGTTAAGATTGTATCAAGATTGTGTCTTGTTGTTTGTCATACATGTATATTTCTTTTCACTTGTTCCAGAAATGGCATGTCAGCTGGCACAAAGGCTTCCATTTATGGATGACATCATATTTGCACAAAAAGATGTTGCTTTCACAGGTAGGCTTTTGTTAAAGAAATTTTATTACAAAATTGCTATATTGACACACTGATGCAGTTTCAGACCATTTTGGCCAAAGTGAAAAAACTACGGTAACCCAATCTTGATTATTATTTGGAAAAAAGTTAACATGATTGAGATGAGAAAGGCAAATGACCTAGTAATCTGATGAATGTCTGAATATGTGATAAACTATTATCAGTGTTCATTTGTCTTCATAGTGTGTGTGTGTGTGTGTGTGTGTGTGTGTGTGTGTGTGTGTGTGTGTGTGTGTGTGTGTGTGTGTGTGTGTGTGTGTGTGTGTGTGTGTGTGTACATGCATGCGTGCGTATGTATGTGTTTCAATATATATTTATTGTCCTCACTGTAATACTTTTTTTCTGAACATCTTTATTTGAATGAAAAAAAGACAATTTTAGAAATAATTTTTTTTGCTTCAGGTCGAGTTGCAGTAGTGCTGCCAAGCTATGACTACAACAAGCTTCACTCAGTGGAGCTGTCTCACATGAGGCAAGAGGCCCTGACAAGGGCAAGTGCAAAGATGAGGCTACATCCTTTGTGCTATTTCAGAGGTGAGTACCTCTATGGGGCCTTTCTAAATGAAATCTGTTTGCCTAACTAAATCCTCATGATTTTTGCTGAATGCAATCAGATTAACAGACTAACATTCCTCTTCCTGACCTTGAGTAGAATGCAGAGAAGCTGGTGATTGTACAGGTACGATGGAAGAGTTCCTGTGTGTATTAGCTAGGTCAACAGATTTCATTGCTAATGGTCCCTGTGACAAAGATTAGTAATCATTTATTGTGGAGATCATCTGAAATACCTATTTTTGATATCAAGTTTAAATTATGCTCATTGTGTACCTCTTGAATTGCAGCAAATGCTGTTGAAATGCTAGTGGGATTGTCAGATCGCAAGCTGTCCCGAGAGGAGTACGGAAAGTTCTGGCAAATGCACCTGTTGGACAGCCCAGGAGAGGAAGTGAACCAAATAGAAATTTGGGATTGTATGGCAGTGCTTTTGTGTTGCCACACTATTTTGAATTCAAAGGAGGTAAAGATTGTATGAAACAGCTCATCAACTGAAAGTGCAAGCAAATCATTATTTTTTATTGATAGTAATAATGATAAATTATAGTTAGTAGCTTAGTAATGATAATCATGTTTGAAGGTATTTTACAATGACTATGGCCTATATAATAGAAACACACAGAAAGGTATAAAGATTTTTGAAGTACATTTTTATAGACAAGTCTTGAATTGGACATCACGCTTACAAATCTGTTGCTGTGACGAGAATTCATGCACATACTGCTGTTACAGTGTGATAGTTTTAATTATAATTTGTTTCTGTTTCAGTTGGAACTCGTATCTTTCAAAAAAATATTCCCTGATTCTGAACTCACTGAATCTGAGGTAAGTGCTCTTATTATTTTTTGTTCTTGTTTTGTTGCTTTTATTATAATTATTTGAAGAATTTTTTCGCAATTTGTTGTACCTTTCATATAATACTATAGCTTTGGTTGGATGCTATCAGTAAGACAGTTGTGACATATTTTTGTTATTATTATTTTGGTTTTTACTATGAAATAATTTGAATTTTTTTATAAAGATCTTTACTTAGTGAAATATCTGTATTTTAGGTGAAAAAACTGCTTCCTGGTCTCCTAGACTTGTATGCTCAGGCCCTCATGATGCACGTACCACGACTTGACTTGCAAAGTTTTATTCACAAGTCTCATTTGGCAACTGCTGCCAGGGTATGTTCATTGTTTCATGCTCTCCATAAGTTTAAAGACAATTTAATTATGTTCTATTGAAGTATTCTTCAATATTTAAGTTAGGAACCAAGAATATAAAGACCAAACAAGTAAAGATGTTTGGCAGGCATGTAGCCAGCATTTTGAAAGATGAGTCCTTTTCTGATAAAGTGGGCCTTTTTACCCCTGGTGGACCCAATCTATAAAAGACATTTACTTATTCAAAGATGCCCAGCTAATGATTTTTTCAGCAGAATAAGTAAGTGAAGAACGTTTAAATAAGTGCATGTATTTCCTGTTACAGCATATTGTGAGCATCGGGCAGCAGAATAAGATGCTCCAGTACATGATTACACAGGATGGAGATGAGCTCTTGCTTTGCCAGGCACACAGTAACTGCCTAATGGATAAAAATGACAAAGAGAGGAAGTTGACAGAATTTCCAATGTCCAACTTTTGTATAGAAGGTGTATCCCACGCTCCACTTATTCGCTCCCTCAGCATCTCCAACGCTGGCTTGGAAAAGCTCCCAGAAGAATTCTTTTCATCTTTTCTGTCTCTTGTGGATTTGGATGTCAGCAAGAACCTCCTGGTGAATTTACCAAGAGGTATTGGAAGTTGTAGAGCATTGTGCAAGCTTAATTTACAGAAGAACCAGTTGGAAACCCTGCCAGAAGATTTTGCCGACCTCAAAGAGTATCCTCTGGAGTTGGATATATCTGGAAATTCATTCCCAGAATTCCCTGAAATTGTCTGCCACCTCGAAAATATGATACATCTTCAGGCAAATGAGCTTCTGCTGGTGAGTTTGCCAGTAAGCTTTGGAAAGTTGAAGGAACTGCAGCATCTCTCCATGAAGAATAACTGCTTGCATGTGCTGCCACCTACTTTCTGTCAACTCAAGAGGCTCCAGTCTCTGAGTCTTTCTGGCATGTGTTGGTTCAAATGCCAGCCAAAGATGTTTTTGTCTCTGGCAGAGCTTGTCCATTCCATCAAGGAAACTAGAGCAGAAATATGGCTGAAAAAGCACAAAGATGTAAGTATTCTATAAGATTTGTTAGAGTTCACAAAATAGAGTGCATTTGCCAAAATATTTTGGTCTTTAATGATGTGCTGGTACACTGCATAAGCATCAGATCAAAATATTACATTTGATTCAAATTAAAATATGTTTTCAGTGTTTAGATATCAATGATAAGCATGGCATGAAATTGATCCTTACGTGTTATACATAAAAAGAAATGCATAAATTCTTTTGCTCAATTTAGTTGATATAAATATTAAATAATTATGAAAAGAAAAAATATAGATCAAACTTTGATTACTATATAATCTTCACAATCCAGAGGAAAGGTCTTTTGGTCCCGAAGCTACAAATATTGCAATTTTTTATTGCCTATTATTAGTATTATGTAGTAAAGAGGTGGTCCTGCTTTTTTTAGGATGAAAAAACACTGTACAAATTCTTTGATGAGGATTCCAATGGATTGCTGGATGAGAATGAAGTGGCCAAAATGAATGCCAGCCTGTTCCACATATTCCCTAGATTCAGAGGAACAGAGGGTAAACATTTAAAAAACACACACACACACATGCTCGCACATACGCACGCACAAGGTATTCTTTAGGCATTATCAGTCTATCAGCCTTTTGAAAAAGATTGTTATTTGGGGAAAATGGAATTGTTATTCCCCATGAACTCAGTCTGAAAATGTATTTTATTCAATGATTACCACAAAATTGAATATTATATGTTTCAAATTAATGTCTACTTAAAAATACCAAAAATGAAGAAGTTACAAGAAGCAATTATTTGATTTTGTAGCAGATAGTAAAATCAATATGAGTTACAACTTGCACTGATGATCTTGACCAAATGTCCTCTATAAAACTGCACCGTGCAAGCTTTTTCTTTTTAGAACAGAGTGGTTTCCCTCCAGAGATCCTAGATCTAGAGAGCCTGGAGTTTCTTGATCTTCAGTACCAGGGAATAACTCACATCCCAGACGGCATTGGCAACCTGAAAAAACTAGACACCTTGATACTGTCCAACAACCCTTACCTGGAGACCATCTCTCCTTACACAGGGCGACTCCCTCTGAAACGCTTGGCACTAGAAGACTGCCCCTCAGTGCGTACACCACCCAAGGAAATCATCGCCAAAGGTTTCCAGTCCACTCTGGTGTATTTGAGGAGGCTGTTATCAGGATCAGTGGAGTGCAAGAGGACCAAACTGATGTTGGTTGGACTTGGTGGGGTTGGTAAAACTAGGTAAAATACTGCATATATTTTATTTGTATTTAATATTTGTCATCGCATATTATTATTATTATTATTATTATTATAATTATTATTATTATTATTATTATTATTATTATTATTATTATTATTATTATTGAAGAGTTTCACTTAACTGCACAAATATTTACCAAATATTTTTTGTGAAAGACATCAGTATACCTGATGTATATGGTGGTCTGGAAATAAAAGTATCGCAATCATATAACTTTTGATTTGATTCATTTGATTCATAATTATTTTTTGAAAGACTTAGCATGTTAAGATAACAGAGTGAACTAGTCTTATTACAGAATGCAAGTTTTAAGTGTTTGTATATAATAATCCATGAACATGAAAATTCAACAGAATATTTGGAGTGCCTTCAGTGAAATGCAGACAGCAAATATATTTTCTAAGAAATTTGTTGACATGTAGTTTTTTTGGTATTTCTGTTCTTCAGTTTGGTTAAGGCTATAATGAGTGGCCAGGGTACGACGGAAAAGACAACAGAGGTGCCCCAGGTGACTGATGGGATAGATATATGTACTTGGACGGTGACACGAGACAGTGACAGCATCAGCTATTCTGTGTGGGACTTTGCAGGACAAACTGTGTACTACAACACACATCAGGTAAGACATAAAGTATTTCTTTTAAAGGATGGCATAGCTATTGCTTAATTTCAAGATCCTGAAAACAGTTCTTTTCTTTCTTTTTATTTTTTAAAATATTGCTCTATGAAATATCTCAAGTTAGACATATTTAATATCATATTTAAGTGTATTATTTATTTTTGGCTTAAATTAAAGAATCTAAAATCATTTTTGGGGTATGACACAGTTTTCATTATACCCTATACATGTGTACCTGTTGCTTAACAAAGTTACAGTTTGACCACAACTTAAAAAATCTTCTTTTTTTTCAGTTCTTTCTCTCAGATCGAGCAGTCTATCTCCTCCTGTGGAACATCCGCCAAGGTCACGAGCACGCTGGGTTAGACTTCTGGCTGAACTCCATAGCCGTCCACGCCCCCAAGGCCCCCATACTGGTGGTAGGCACTCACCTGGATGAAGTGTCCAAGGTGGAGATCCCTGTTGAAGAAATGCAGGAAAAATACAGTCAGATTAAAGGATTCCATTTTGTCAGCTCTCACAGTGGGCAGGTGGGTACTGGATTGTGTTAGGTGAGACAGTGTTGGGTGTGACACATTGTGTTGGTTGTGTCTATGATACATTGTACTGGGTGTGATTCATTGCATCAAGTGAATGATATCTACAAATTAAAATGTGATTTTTAATTGATTATTTTGTTTCATTATCATGATCACTTTGTTAACTATCAATATTCAGCTATTTATTTGATTTCAATATATTTTTTATCTTTTGAATACTAGATAAATTATAGAACTGAACACGTAAAAATCTTGTTGTATTTATCTCAGAGGAGCATATTTTTAAAAAAGTTTTTGTTGACATTTTATACTGATACTAAATTTAATTGCTATTTTTGCAGGGCATTCCAGTCCTCCAGGACCAGCTTCTTGATGTGACCCTGGCTCAGTCTTATATGGGAGAACAGATCCCTAAAGCTTGGCTCAATCTGGAGAGAGAGATCCTCAAGTCAGTAGTCCCTTTTCACCTTATTAGACTTTTAATTCTATAAGATAGAATTGAGAAAGATATACCATTTGTGGAAAATGCCAGTTTTATCCTTTAGAAGTTCATTTCTAGTACATTCTTTAGAAGTACATTTCTGCAAATGGTACACTGTATCTTCTTTAAGGAGAACAAATTTCCATTGAATATGCTCTGCTTCACACTGAAACAGTTTAATGCAGTTAAAGTAATTAATGCCTCTATATGCCAATTTGTTGTGCAGTTGGATCTGCAGAAGTCATCACATTTTTAGGAGAATCACAAAATGCACAAACCAATTAGCACATAATCACACAAATGCAATATGCACATGAACCAATAAACATACAAAATATGCTGGAAATAAATGAATAATTTAAAAATTCCTAATTTTAATGCTCTTTTCAATAACATATTTGTCTGAAAGAATTGACTGGCAATGTGATATTTTGTCTTTTCAGACTGAGATCTACCCAAAGTGTGGTGAAATATGATGACATCCAAACCCTGTCACAAACAAGGACTGGGATATTCGATGAATCAGAGGTACACCAAACAACAGAATGCCAAATATAAGTGAACATGCAGGCTTATTTATTTATTTATTTATTTATTTATTTATTTATTTATTTATTTATTTATTTATTTCATGTTTATAATCTATAGCTGCTCATTTTTTATGATGTTTTAAAAGTATAGAAGTCTTTTTATAGTTGGTTCTATAAAGTTAATAGCCAGTCAAACTACAAATTTATTCACACACTGGCTTATCAATAAGCCAGACTATTTCAACTGAATGTTTATTCCACAGCTGAGTCAAGCAGTTCAGTTCCTGCATGACCTGGGCAGTCTACAGCACTTTGACAGCAGCTTCCTCAAGTCTCATGTTGTCATCAACCCACAGTGGATTGTGGATGTCATGTCATGTGTAGTGTCTGTCATGGACTCTCCTATTGTGGTAAGTTGGATCTTTTGTGACATGTCAACAGAATGTCACAGTGGATTGTGGATGTCCAGCATTTGAAGTGTTTATCATGGACTCTTTTTATTGAATAAAAATAATATATAGGAGTGAACTTATTTATTTAGTATTAATGCCATTGATAATAAATTGCATAATGCTGTTATTGATATACTAATTAGCATTTATTTAAATATGTCACTGATAAAAGTATGATTTTAATTTTGGCATGATTTTAATTTTGTATGATTTTTTTTCATTAGGATGGTAACTTTGATCATAAGGACATCCCCATTGTGTGGAAGAGTTACCCAGAGGACCTCCACAGCTGGCTGCTGCGTCTCACAGAGGAGTATGACCTGACCTTTCAACTCCCAGACAAACCTGTCAATCTTGTGCCGTGCCTTCTCCCCGAGAGGCAGCCTCACTTTGAGTGGCCAGAGGTGGACAGAGAGAGTGGCCACAGAGAGGCAAAGATGGTCTACAAGTTTGATTATTTGCCTGCGGGACTCTTCAACAGAGCACAGGTCAGTTGTAGAAAAACATTTCAGGCAGATTCTGATGTTAATGAAGTCTCTAGGCATGTTTTTCCCCTTTTTTATGTATCATGTACATCAAACAGGGAATACAAATATAAGCATTTCAGTAGAACTTAAAAGATCATATATTATTATGAACTATATTTACAATCAGGGGTTTGAAAACCCTGTGCTCACTATTTATAGCATTTCCCTTTCAGAGTTCAATTGAATGCCTTTTACAAAATTTTTACGTAGAATGTTTAAGACTTGAGATAAAATCATCAAAGTTGGGGTGGATCTTCAAGAAGATTACCAAAAAGAAACGATTTTCATTTTTATTTCCAGGTGAGACTCTATGAATTTTCAGACAGCTCAGTGATCTGGAAGAGAGGCTCCATGTTGAGAAAGAACGGACATGTGGCACTTCTGACACAGCTAAGGTATGAAGTTATTACCCTCTACCAGGGCGAGTGATAGATTTTTTACAGATATTCACAGATATGTCTCTAGCTAGATAGATGGTCATTTAAAGCTCAACTCACCCTGTTGAGGAATCTCAAGGCTGATTACATGGCTGATAATTGTTTGCATAACTGCTCAGGCACTGCCACTTAGCAGGTCCAGTCTAAGTCTGCGTGACAGCAATCAAGACAGTTAATTACTCTGACTTCAATCACTTGATCTACTGTGACAGATAAAAAAGCCTTACACTGGTTGCGTAACGAGCAGTTATCACATCGTTGTGAAGCTCAGCTCATGCAGAGCAAGTACAAAGCCTTTGGCGCGCACGCAGAGATAATTGTTTCCACATGGGATTCCTCAACAGGGTGAGTTGAGCTTTAAATGACCATCTATCTAGCTAGAGACATATCTGTGAATATCTGTAAAAAATCTATCACTCGCCCTGGTAGAGGGTACGAAGTTATAGCGTTAAGTAAGATGGATCATTTCTGTAAACAAGATTGTTGGGTACATATGCAACAGTTGTAAGTACACCATAGTACAGGTCACTTGAGTTACCTAGGGACATTTCTGTTTATGAGATATGTAAGTTACAAGCACAGCAATTAAATATATATGTGTGCCTGAATTCCTGGTGGTCTCTATAGCTTTTCATCTTATATTATGATGACATAATTTGTTTCCATAACAAGAGAGAAGAGATAGTTAGAAGTTGACATTTGTACTTGAAGTATAATTTTATAATACTTACAGCTGAATGTATATTAACACAAATCATTTAATGTCATATGCTTCTTCTTAAGCATGCGCCACAACCTAATTTATCTGGTCATTTTTTTATTGGTCCATTTTGTCTTGTTTTCTTTACAAAGGATTGATTTTTATACCAATAGAAATGTTTGTTTTTTCAGAGACTCTGAACTTCATGTTAAGGTGATAGGCACCTCCCCAGAGAATGTTCTGTTCCTGGTCCATGAGGTGTACGAGGGTTTGATCATGGAGTCCTTCCAGGGGGTGGTGTACGACTACCTCATGCCTTGTCCAGACTGTTCTAAAGCTGTGAGTAGAAAGTGTATTATCTCAAAAATGAACTAATACACAGGAACCTAACTTTTCCAGATGTTATTTGTTTTCTTTTGTAATGTCACTGTTAGTTCTCTAAGAGAAGGCTTTTTCAAAAAGACGTTGTTGTATTGTTTAGATGGAATTAGGAAATTGGCCTTCTACCACAGATGTCCCAAGTGCACAATGTTATTTTAAATTGAAAACAAAAATAGTTCTCAACAACTATTTCAATCCTTGGAGTAATGCTAATATGCATCTTTCTTCAACAAAAAATTATAAGTAAGATGTATTTTAAGGTGGATACATGATATTACATGTATTTGTTCTGCTTTCCAGCATGTGCGTGACCCCCACATGTTTGCAGCCTCCTCCATCAGAAGAGCTACCCAGCTGAAGGCACCATTCTTGCAGTGCTCCAAGTATTTTCACGTCATACCACTGAGAGATTTACACAGTTAGTAGCAGTATTAAATAGCAGTTTTAATTTAGGACTTCCATTGTACTGTTCTGATTATAGTAGTGATCTTACAGGGCATGAATAATAAGTTGATAGTTTTTTTTTTTTTTTTTTTTTTTTAATTTGCAAATGCAAATACTATTCAAAAATTTTAACAGAGTTTTGAGGATGTCTGTAACTTGAACTGAATATAACTGTATATGTGTATTTTGCAGGCATGATGCCCCCAGAGAGTAGCTCGGATTATGACCTCCAGCTGGTCCAGACTGTGAGGGGACTGACTGACCTCAGGAAGGATCTCACCGCAGGTATTTACATATCTTGTCTCAGTCACTGTCTCAACTGAGGTTACTGTCTCTATGCATCATACTATATTTTATCCTTATAAGGTCATTAAATTCCCTTTTTTATGATAATTCTATTATTTCTGAATATAATAAATTGGTTTAAGTATTATTTATTTGGGTAATTAAATTATTTATGAATATAATGAATTGGAGAATTAAAGTATTGATACTGTTTCAGATATATTCATCTCATATTGCGTGGCAGACTTACCAGAGAAGAATGAGAGTCGTGTGTCACCAAAAGATATCTGTAGAGATTTGGAGGATTCTGGATACAGATGGTAAAAATTATTTGATGTTAAATCTGTTCAATTTGGGTCTGTTCAAATTAGTTCTAAGTTGATACTTGGGCAGTTTTGTCAGCAGGCAATAGTGTCAGTGTATTAGTGATAAAGGTACCTGAGACTCCATGGTGACATCTTTTTTGCATGGACTATAGTCCCAGCATAGCAAAACCATTAACTGAGCAAACATTTTGAGGATTAAAATATTAAAAACTACAATTTGTTGAATGTTCTAACTTCTTGTTTTAATTCACTTGACATCTTCTAGCCTAGGCAGCTTCACATATCATTAACAAATTACAAATAATCATTAAATAAAGACACTGAAGTTTTCTTGAATTTATATTCAATTCTGTGTCTATCAGTCTTTCCTTGGTATTCAAATATAATTCATTTATTTATTTTATCACTTTTGTTTAGCATCTGTATATATGCCAGTCGCACTTTCATTTTATCATTTTGTTTCCCAATTTACCATCACAGTTGGTTCCCAGAAGACCCCAGCTCTCAAAGTCTGGAGGCAACAGCCATAGCACTGCGTGATGCCAGGATCTTTCTGGCCTGTATCTCTGACAACTACATCGAGGATGGAGAGTGCTGCACCATGTTTAAGTATGCCACAACCACGCTGAAGAAAAATATCGTCCTGGTCGTCCTGGGCAACAGCATGGATTGGCAGACCAGTCAGATTGGTTTGCTTGTGGCAGGAGAGGTGGGTATTAGAATTAATAGTTTTGGACTTTTTAATCAGAATGAGAAGTTGGAATTTTGAATATATGCTTTAGATGGTGCTCTGTAAATTGGTGACAGTGCTTAAACTTGTGGCAATAGAACTAAATAAGAATAAGATATGAAAAACATTTAATGCAGCAAATATATTATAGACTGAAAAGGTGAAGTGTACTTGTAACGTGTTATTTTTAAAAGAAGAAAATATATTGCTGCAAATACCCAATAGAAATGATGATTGTGTATGTAAAGTAAATGTTAGATAGCTGCATGTACATGAAAAATAGAAAGGCACATGTAAGTGTCACTTATTTTCTTCATTCTGGCTGTTTTTGATGAACATGCAGTGAAAAGAATAGCAGATATACTTTGATAAACCAAACAAAACCAAAAAAAAAATAATAATAATAACAAAGTTATTAATACTATCCTGTAATTTTCTTTATTAAAGCTGTATGTGAACATGCAACAAAAGGACCGCTACAACTCCAAATTGGAAGAACTAGCAAGGAAGTTAGACAGTAACACCCTGCTGAAGAAAGATGAGAGTGTGGACTACCCTCCAGTGTTCATCAGTTATTCTTGGGCCAATTCTGCCAGAGCAGTGCAACTTGGGACGCGTCAGGTAGAGGGAGCCACTGGATATGGCGACCCCAGGGAATATAAGGATTTCTTGGAGAGCCACGGAATAAAGTGCTGGCTAGATATAGAACAGACTGGAGCAGTAAGTATTAGAAATGAAAGAAACATGGTCTTATACAGAAATCTGGATATTTGGGTGTTGTATTTATGCTTCCCGATCCCCAAGAAAGACCTGTGCACCTATGGCGCTTGTATTTTCAGGGTTTTTTTTCTTCTCTTAAGGTCCAATATCATCCCTGAGTGTGATCCTTTTATGTGCAGCATTCCCTTAAGACAGTGCCCTGTTTCATGAAAAGTTGCATATAGTATGCATTTAACACAACACTTCATAAATTAAAAATGATGTTGTTCTTTTCCCCCAGAATGGTCTGTTTGAAGACATAGCAGTGGGTCTCCAGAATGCCAAACTGGTGGTGGCCTGTATATCTGACCAGTATGCACTCTCAGCCAACTGCAACATGGAGTTTCGTTTTGCCAAAACGGCGCTCAACCTCCCCATCGTGATTGTAGCTGTTGGAAGCGGTCTGAACTGGAGACAGTCAGAGGTATGACATGCCTAACCGAATTCAGTCACCTGTCACAATGCTGCCTTATGTAAAGCAATGCTGTCACAACTAACACAATACTATCACACCTGACACAAAAATTTCTCACCTGACAGTTGGATTTCTGTCATCTGTCATGACTCTGCCTCACTTAACACTATGCTGTCACAACTGACACAATGTTACCACTTACATATTATTTCTATATAAATAATTGGCACATTATGCGGACACACCTAATGTAATGTTGAAACATTACTTCTTTTTGTAAAACAGCAACCCACTAAATGAAATCTCCACATAAATTATTTTTCACCATATTAAACTTTAAGGTTGGCATGTTGTCCATCAACTATCCAGTGATTGCCCATGACCAGATGGAGAAACTGTTAGCACTGGTCAAGGAGAACTTGCCCAAGGATGATGACCAGAAGACACTGATCAAAAAGGACGGCAATGAGAAAAAGAAGCACAAGGAGCAGGTCAACCAGCAGCAGAAGACGAGTTCATTTCAGGTATGGATATAGACGGCTTGGAGATGGAGAGGGGCGGTAATAAGTGATAGGCTAGATCTGGTTTTACAAAGGAATTTAAGATTGAAAATTGGTGTTAACTTTTAGACAGACAATTTTGGTCCAATTCAATTCTGGGTATTTCTGAAATATTGAGAAAAAAGGCAAATCTTTTCTGCAGAGACTAAATGATGTATCTCTGCTTTCAAAGAAGGATGTTTTAAGCTTTCATGAAATCAGTTAAAGCAGACCACAAAAAAGTTGCCTTAAATTTCTTATGTAAAAATGCTTTTTTAGAGGACATTGATTTCTATCAGAATATTATAAGTTTAAACAGAAAAGTTCTATGCAATTGATTCTGGAAGATATAGCTTGAATTTTTATTTTCATTTCAGACACTTATCTCAACTCTTTTCAATACCTAACACTTAAAAAAAACTTTCAGGAGCTGTATGAGCTGGCCCAAAGGAAGTTTTTGCGCCAGGTTGCAAAATTTGCAAACTCGTTCAACATGACTCCGTATCCCCGCCTCATTGTGATAGACCATACAGATGAAGAGGAGGAAACAAATGGTAATGGTAGCTAGCATACTGTCTGTAATAATTATGAACACTAGCCCTACACCAAATATCAGTGAAATTTATGTAAGCTGGATCAGTGAATTTTAATAGATTTATTCAGTTACTGACTTCCATTTCTTCTTTGGGCCATGCAGTTTATCCTAAAACTATGGGATTTCCAAAGGGCCAGTGGGCTTAAAAATTTGTGATTTATATTGGGCATATTTTTTGCAGGGGAGGAACAGGTTGAAGAGGTCCAGCCAGTGGAAGATGACCAAGAAAAGGAGAAAGAGAGTGACCCTCAGGCTGACCCTCAGCAACAGTACTGTTTCAAAATTTTGTGTGAACATGAACAGGTCAGTTTTTTTCCTTTCCCTTTTTATGTACAGACACAGATGTGAAATTTCATTACCTCACTGTCAGAGGCCAAGGAACTAATTTTGTCGAATATTTTACTTTATNTAATAATAATAAATAAAAATAATAATAATAATAGGTCATAAAAATAGCAGGGTTCTCCCCAGGATTTGAAAATAGCCCTTATTTTTTTTTACGCGAGAGTACCGAAGCTCGCGAAGCGAGGCACAAAGGGGGGGGGATGTGCCCTCTGGAGGAAAAACTTTCATTATTTCATGCAAAAAGGGTGCAATCCCATGCAATCTGAAGCTGTCATTAAATCGTTACGACATAGCCCACTTGCAGGACCAAATTTTGCGGGAAAATTAGGGCTAGACACTAACTTTTATGAGCACCTGTCCGAATTTCAATCCAACCTGTCCAACAAAACTAATATTTTTTCTATTCATACCATTGAACTTTGTAAATAAATATGTGTAGTCATACATTTAATGCATTTATTGCCAAGACATTAAATTAAATGAGCCGGAAAATGCACCTTAAAGTGGATTTATTTTCAGATAAAAAGTTGTTTTTTCATACTTGTGAACTCCTGATGATTTAATCTTGCATATAAGTCTGATTTAACATTATAAAGTTTCAATCAGGGCTTCTCCTAGGATTTTGGGTACAGGGTCTGCTAATTGTAAATCTGCAATTTGATAACAAATTCACATGAAGTTTAACCAAAGCAAAATATAAATACCCTGAGTGGCAGGTGGGGAGGGGGTACTGTTAGATTAATTTTATTAAAATATTCAAAAGTTCAATGAAAAATTAAAGAATATTCATCTTATAATACTTTACTTATATTTATGTTAACAATTTAACTTTTTAGGGGTTATCTTGTGTTTGATTTTCTTAAATATATGAGTTAAATAAAATCAGTATAAAAAAGTTCCCCTTTTTATTTAAATTCTCATATTTGTTATTACTAATTTCTTCCTTACATCAATACCACACTGGTATATGACAGCAATGTTAATTTATCATATTCCAGCACTAAATTTTTAACTGTAAATAATATAGGTGATGATAAAGTCATTAAAGAAAACATCATACAAAATTTCAGGTTATATTTTGGCAAATAAACAATATTTCAACAAGATCTTCAGTCCCAAAGATTTCACGTTCTGTAGTGAGTAGATAGCATACAACGTATTTGATTGACAGGCAGTATGTTGCCTGGACAACGAACTAGATATAGCCAGTTCATCTAGTCCAATCTGGCTTTGTAACCAGCATAGTACTTGTGTTGTTTCAGTAACGGTCTTTCTCTCTAGAGCACGTAGATTTTTAACCAAATAAATATTCAGTAGTGAGCCTGTTATGTGAATAAATTTTGTCTGATGAAGTTCTGGAGGGTGTTCACTTTCATAACTTGGCGGTAAGTTTGCTCAGACTTCGTTTTGTGACTGCACGTGTTTTGTGCCAAAAGTAGGTCATTCTTTTCAGTACCGTGTAGGAGGAGACAAAAAGACGTTAGTATGCATGAAAAATGATTTTTTAAAAGATTTTTGCTCCAAATTTCTCATAAACCATGACCTGTCTGTCGGACAGCCAACCCTGCAACTTCACCTGTCCGAGCTGAATTTTTACCTGGCCCGGACAGGCGCTAATATAGCGTTGCATCTTTTCTGACATTTTCTCTTGCCGCATGGATACATTTATTTATAAATGATCACGACTGCTACTATTCTTCAGTCAAAATAACATGAAGGATTGACTATTCATTATATTTCTCCAAAAATATAGATAAAGCAAACAAATCTCACAGAATTACATTGATGACGAAACTAATAAGCGGATGATGATATTCGAAACTTGTCAGTACGCAGGTCCCGCGCCCTCAACATAAGATGTTATACTTGTATTATTGCGCCAGGCAGAACAAAAATAAACAACTTAACGCGCACACAAGAGATCCAAGTACGCACACAGTCGTTTTTATTTTACGGTTTACGTCGCGACTGTCAGGAATAAAGGCATTAAAGGCATTGGTCACACACACACTCTTAAAGGGTATCGGAGTTCAAAGAAGCGTATCGGCAAAAAAAGAAGCGTATCGGCAAAAAAAATAGCGTATCGGGGCCGATACGCTATAAAGGCCTGGGGAGAACCCTGAATAGGCTAAATTTCTGGCCAAAAATTTTAAAGAAAGGAGCAGTCTAAAGCTCTTTAATGACCAATCTGGTGACTTATTCAGTTTTCCCCTTGTCATGTTAAATTTATTTGAGTAATTAGGAAATTTGAAGTAGTTTATATGCGTTACTGGAAATCCATGTTACAGCAATGCTCTGTTAATATGTACCTTAAGTGCNACCTGGCCCGGACAGGCGCTAATATAGCGTTGCATCTTTTCTGACATTTTCTCTTGCCGCATGGATACATTTATTTATAAATGATCACGACTGCTACTATTCTTCAGTCAAAATAACATGAAGGATTGACTATTCATTATATTTCTCCAAAAATATAGATAAAGCAAACAAATCTCACAGAATTACATTGATGACGAAACTAATAAGCGGATGATGATATTCGAAACTTGTCAATACGCAGGTCCCGCGCCCTCAACATAAGATGTTATACTTGTATTACTGCGCCAGGCAGAACAAAAATAAACAACTTAACGCGCACACAAGAGATCCAAGTACGCACACAGTCGTTTTTATTTTACGGTTTACGTCGCGACTGTCGGGAATAAAGGCATTAAAGGCATTGGTCACACACACACTCTTAAAGGGTATCGGAGTTCAAAGAAGCGTGTCGGCAAAAAAAGAAGCGTATCGGCAAAAAAAATAGCGTATCGGGGCCGATACGCTATAAAGGCCTGGGGAGAACCCTGCATGTGCCATGTCTTTCTCTACCTTTTAATTTTTAGAAGGTATCTCAATAAAGGAGTATAATCATCCAGGGCTGGGTATTATTAGAAATCTTATACACCCTTTATAATATTACCAATAAAAAAGGAAAACATATCAGAACTATTTTAAATCATCAACTATTCCAGGGCTGGCACATAGCTGGTAGTGCTGTCCTGGCCAACAATGTGAATGATGCCTTCCTGCACAAGCTAATTCCTTACCTGGTCCGCATCATGGCAATTGTGAGACACAGTAAAGATATAACACTCAACTGTATCACTGGAGAAAAGGGGGAGAAGTACTTCAAATGGCTAGAAGAGGTATGGGTAATTTCTGACTCACTGCAGCCAAGCATGTGTATAGGAAGTATATAGAATAATTATTCTTCTTAATTTGATTATTTTATTATTTTGCAAACTGTGGCTATTTTCATGGTGGGGTCTATTAGGTCCATAACATAAGCCTGTTAGTCTTTAAATTGTGCTTGTTTTAATACTAGTGTTGTATGTATTTATTACTGGACCATATCTCATATGCCAGAAAAAGGTTTGGGTCATTTTTGCTTGTGCACTTTTGGTCAAGACTACATATTAAAATATATAAATACATAAAAGGTACTAATAGTACCAAACTTATATTTGATTTTATGTTTGTCAGGCCCCACAAGCAGTAGTGTCTGAGTGGCAAGAGGTGTACAGAGAATTACTGGAAGAAGTAATGGCAGCAGACAAAAACAAATCAATGGCTGGACTGGCAAGGTAATTTTTTCAGGTGTATTTTTTTTATTAAATATGATTAAGAAAGCATCAATAAGTTAATTAAGAAAGTATGATTATGATTTTTGATTAAAAAAATTAATTTTGTTTTAAACATTGTGAAAAACTTGTTTTAAATAAAACCACCAGTGCAGAAGGATCTACACATATGTTTTTCAATCTTGACTATTCTCTGTTTCAGATGTCATCTGCCCAATGGGAAAACAGCCTGGTTGTGTGAAGAGCATCGTTCTCATGGCAGAATAACTGTCCTGAACTCTGACGGTAATGCTGTCGTCTCGTCTCTAGATTCTGGGAAAGAGAACATCATGCTGAAAGAGCTGAAGGCCCCGGACAATGAGCTCACACAGAAATATAAAGCCAAGAATGAAGAAATGGCTGGTAGGGGTTAGATTGGAAATAAACAGATAAATGAATAAATTAATTAATTAATTAATAGTCTAATGCTCTTTAGACTGAGAGAAACATGTTAAAAATTCCATAATGTATGGTGCTATTTGACAAAAATTATTTTAATTTCAAAGTACAGTGTATATTCCAAGTCTGTTATACCTGAAAAGTATTTCAAATACAGGCCGTGCAAAAAATCATCAGATTTCCTTTCAAAGTAAAAGAAGTTTGAAAAATAAAGGCAAACAACTTTTTTGTCAAAATATTTGCATCATGTTTAGAATTTTTGAAACCCCTTTCCATGGGCTTTTCCATCAACCCAAAATGTTTCATTCCAGCTGCCATAAAGGATAAGATCAAGATCGTAGAGAGGAGTATGCAATCACAGACAAGTAAACCAGAAACCTCTCCAGTCTCTGACTCTGCTGTCAACCCCATTGTAGCAGCAGCAGCAGAAGCCATGTCACTCAGCACCATCCCCAAGACATCCCAGAGTAGAAATAAGGGCAAAGCAAGATTTAAAGCAGCGGGCATTGTGGCTGCTGCGGCAGGAGTCAAGAACAAAAGTTCTGCCTGTCATATTCTGTAGAGGAATTTCTTTCTTGTTTTACTATTTGCTGAAATGTTAATGCCTAATGGAGAATGATGATATTATAATATGTATAAAGATAGGTTCAAAGGAATCTGGTATTGCATTTAGTGCTGATGGTACTGTTTTTATTCTTAATGTCAATGAGGAGACTTGGAGGTGTGTTGTAGTTGGTTTCTTAAAGCTTTACGGTCTTTGTATTAATCGTGATAAAACTGGGACTATATGGATAAGGTCAAAGCAGTATGCTAAAGATATTCTTTACTCACAATATCAATTAAAATGGAACAAAAACAGTTCCAAAATGCAAAGAGTAAAGTTTGATGTAGATTTTAGTTATATCATCGGTTTAACACAAAACGTTAAGGCAAGGTCAAGCTTTGTGAATAATGTGCTTTTTCAATATAGAGTAAGAAATATAAAAACTGCTAGGGAAAAAAATGTAATTATAATGATGTTACCTTCTTCTGGCTTCGACCGTATGCCTCTATCCTTTTCAAACCCAAAAGAAAAACATGGAGAATGGAAGAAATGTCGTTCTTATCTGTGGAATGATAAGCCGAGTAAGATTAAGAGATATATTATTTCCAGTGAATATAAAGGAGAGGGAACAAATATTATAAGTGACAGACTTTTCATGCAATATTTGAAAATTCCACGGGTGAGAAGGCTTATATTTGAAAACAAGGAGTGGAAAAATACCATAGTTAAATACTTGGGTATAGAAAATTGTCACAAAATTAACACTTTTGGGACAAATTATATTTTAAAAACCTTTAGGAACACATCAGTGTTTGAAAATAAGGCACATAAAAATATCATCATTAGATAGCAAGATATAGAAAATTATAACAAATTCATCACTTATGGTACTGATCATACCGGTATTTCAAAATTCTTTCAGAACATGAAATTTCAATCTAGGGTAAATGTTTTAACAGCATGGAAAGATCTTTTTAGTGAAATAATTTCAAATAAAAATAAAGAATTCTGCAATCAGTCTTTTATAAACCAAGGTATGACAGAAAAGGTAGACTTGTGACCAAGCTTCTTTTGGGTTTGGGAGAATTCAATGGTTTTGACAGAACTTCCCAAGATGTCTGTTGTGATAATATAAATGAAAAATTTTTCGAGTTCCATGGAATTGTCTCAGATTTCAAAAGGGGAGTAAAGAAGGACAGGTGTATTTGGAAAAATAAGTGAGGTACCTGTGTCTCTTCTATATGATGTTTCTTTTATTTTGTTTTCATCAAACTGTGATAAAGGTTTGAAAACTTGTCATAGAATTTTAAGTAAAATGGATGTTTAGGAGATGGCAAAAAAATGCTAATGAATGGAAAGTGTTACTCTACCTGGAGGAAGAAGAGTTTCTTATGGTTTTGAAAATTCCTTTTGTAATTACCAAAAATTCAGTATTGCTAAAATTTAATTTTTCTTTTCTGAAGGCTTTCACTGATTTGTAAATTGATATTATTTCAAATCAAATGTTATATTTACTCCATGAGGTACTGAGTGTTTAGGATAAGCTGCTCTGGAAGAGGTGTTATTTCTTCAAAAAGATCTAAGATTAAAAAAGATCTGTGAGTGTGCTAGCCATAATGCATGTATAAATGATTTTCATTATCCAAGAAGTTTGTTTAAATATAGTTTAGTCTTATTTCTTCTCCACCTGAAGTTTCTTAATAACCTCCCATAGAGATGAAAGATACAGTGTGGCTATTTTAGGTTATTTTCATCTCCTTGCACATGCAAACATATGAATTCTGAAAGTGTGTGAGAGTGTTCTTTGCTACTGATTGTTTTATTCTGTCGTATACATTTTTTTTTGTCTAAAATATCTTGTAATGAACAAGTATTTTCTTTTCCATCATATTCATATGTATGAAGATGTAAGGAGCAAATGGCAATTTTGAATTATGTTATATAGTACATCAACATTATATGTTTTAGTTGCAGACTATTTAAAATATTGATAACTTTCTGCAATTGGTATAGGCAAGTAGTTTCAAAAGCCAGTGATATTCACACATTATTTTCATATAGCTAATAGAAATAGCTATATAGAAATTTAACTCTGTGCAATTAAACAATTTCTGTATGTTTTATAGCAATCAAATCTTGCTAATGGTTACAAAGCTATTGATTTCATTCAGTTATTGGGGTATGATATAAAGCTTTTGATACGTAAAAGTTGAAAGAACAGTGTCCCAAGGAATAAATTATGACATCATGTTGTCAAAGCCATACCCATGGTTTTTACATATCAATTCTGCACAAGTCAAAATGCACTATTATACCTGTGATATTGGTAATATTATCATTAATTAGTATATACATATTGTATATATCTGCCTTCTTTGGCTTTGTTAGAGTACTTTGATATCTTCACTATTTTTGAAATTATTTTTGATTGTATTTTATCTCTGTCTTTTAAATATATAAATAGAATATTAAAGTCCGTCCAGTTCTATCTTTTAAACATATAGTCTACATGTATTTTTAATGTGTACATCAGATAGAAACATTCCAGTCTTGAGGAACATTGTTTATTTGACCAGGGTTATAGATACTGACTGTGATTGTTATTTTCCCCAGGACAGTACCATTTCTGTTACTTTTTATTAACTTTGATAAATTATGTAGCAATCTTTTATATATATATATATATATATATATATATATATATATATATATATATATATATACATGTAGCTATTTTGCATTTTTTTATTTAGATTCCTTTCAAATTTATAGCTATTTTTTTATTTTTATGAATAATTATATTATTCTTTGATAATTTGTGTTTAATAGGTAGATTTTATTATCAAAATAAAGTAGCTTTTGTGATGATTTAGAATTAAAAATAGATATGTTAGTTATCTGTTAAACAGAATTGACTCATATGGGCATGAAGAAACAAAAAAATTGATCTTTGCAACAAATTCATTTAAGGTTTTACAAGGTCAAAGGTTGAGATACTAAAACTAAATTTGCAATTTGAGTTTTAAACACAATTTTGTCACCTGTATTTGTTCATTTTAAACTTCCGGAAGTTTTTTTTTTTTTTTTTTTTTTTAGTAAAAGCAACTTTCGGGACAATCACAACCTCTGGCTCAAGATGGTTGAGTCATAAATTAGGGGCACTTCTTCATTGTTTATGGGCAGATGTAATGTGTCCGACATGTAGTCATCACCAGCTTCTGTCCTCAATAGAATTAAAACCGCCTTACTATTTTTTCTCAAACTGGTAAGAATAAATCTTATAACTAAATCCAGCTCGAGTTCAAAAACGGGTCTGCTTGGATTGTCATTATTGAAGTTTCTTCTATAATTTTTATTTATTATTATTTTTTTTTCATATTCATGATTGTCATTGCAGTTTTTACGATAATTTTTTACATTAGCATTTTCAAGGTTTGGCTATCAGACCCCATATCTAACAAGACTCAATGGTGCTGTTATCTTCTGTATAGGAAAAAACACCTAGCTACAAACCAAAATTTCGCAATAATATTCATTATATTTCAAAGATATTTCACTGTTATAGTACAAGTTGTTCCCAGTGGCACATCAAAGTGTGACTCAACCTCTTGTTGCATTTATCAAATACTGAAAGCACCATACGACCAAAAAAACCTAAACCAAATTAAAATTTTCTGCAATCTCTTGCATCACTAAATTAATCATTATATCTGTTTGCAAGAAGGTTTGGGAAATGCATTGTGTTAAGCGTAACAAAAAAAAAAAGCCTTAAAGAGGTTGTACAATGAAAAATGTAACTCGACAACAGTCGATCGTGTTTTTGCATAACTCCATACCTTTTCACAGTATAGAAAACATTATTTATCTTAAAGTCCATTGACACTGATTTTAAGCATGTGGGTTTCCAGTCTCCGAACAAGATCCATTTTCTTGAGTCTTTTCAGAGTCAAAATCAGTTCGTTGACGTCTGCCAGGCGGCTAAACCGTCTCCATCTTTCCAAAGACTTAATGGCTTTTTCCTGCCAGCCGACTGTGACGCCGTATGTGTTTGCGTCTATTACTGAAATAAAAAGAATAAATTTATGGAAACAACTGGTAGACGTTTTAAATATAATAGGTGTCCTGCTTTAAGGGGATTGTCTATATGTTCCAGAGGCCAACGTGATAAATAATGATATACACGACCATCACAAATGAAAGAAATATTTTGAACTTGCATACATCTGGTTCAGCTACGTGAGCATCGTATAACTCCACAATGTGTGTTCAGAAAAACTTAGAACCAAATCGGTTTAGGTCTGAAGCAAGTCTCCAATCGACAAAATAAGGTTGCCAGTGATATATAAGACTATACAGAATATAAAGGTATTTGAAATGTTTTTTATCTTTGTCTGAAAGCGCCTGCTGCAAAAATTTGGACAAATAACTGAATAAAACGATTCTTCCGTCCAAGGCACAAACTAGGATTTTCGTTAAGGAGGGGGGGTCTTAAACAACACACTGCTTGGCTGAGGATTTGTTTTATGATTGCATCTCTATTTAAAATACTTTTAACAACCACTCCCCCCCCCCCTCACACACACACACACACACACACACGCACACTCACAAACATTTTTCAACCGCGATTGGACAAAAAATTATTTTAACGGAAACTCCTCTCAAGTGCTTCAACTTTTTCTATGAGATCTACATATTAGTGTCTCCTCTATAGAACCCAGGCAGCCCACCTTCAATATCCCTCGCCTTGCAGTGAAAGTCCCTGCGTGGACTGAAGGGGAGGTCCATATACAGCTCCGGCCACTCCTGACCTATCTCGGCAGCCACAAACTTGATCGCTTCGTGGACGTAGTCATACGCTGAAAAGAAAAGTAAAGGAAATTACGTGAATAGGTGAGACGCCAGTTAGTAGACACTGACAGACACAGCAGTGGCGGATTTGGGGGGGAGGGGGTGTTAGGGGGGGTCCTGACCCTCCCCCTACCCTTCCATTTCTGAAAATAATTAAATAATGAATTAAACCATTGGTCCCCCCTTGAAATTAGAATTTTGACTAGCTGAATCATAGTTCTAAACAGTACCAAATGGCACCGTTCGCCCTCTAAAATACCAAATGTTTCGGGGTCCTTTAGCGGGCCCCGAACCCCAAGTCAAGGGGGGGGGTAGGCTTTGCATCCGCGGACCCCACCCTCCTTCAAATAATCCGGGTGCCGCCCCTGTACAGATGGGTAAATGTTGGGCGACTCATTCGACTCTTCGTTCGGCTGGCCTCGGGCAATTCCGTGCCTCGTCAATACCACTTAAAATAAGGTTTACGTGTTTTGAATGGTTTTCCATGTCTTAAATTTACTAACAAAGATATTACTTGTTTCCCCTCACCCTTTCTATTTACCAACAATAAACTACGAGGGCCCTGCGTGTAAAGTAAATGCATTTCCGTGATTGTGAAGTTTTTTGCTTTCAAAGGGTCATCGTGAGTTACCTACAATTATTTTTTACAATAAGCAAAGGTTGTCAAAGGGCGTTATGGATTGAATGGTCATAAAGCGGTGACACAATTGGCTGATTCTTGATAAAGTAGGCATACAGAAAACAGCTGTGCCCACCACAAAAGTAAAAAGGAAAAAAGAAGAAAAAAAGCACTAACTAACAATGCAAATAATGCTTCTTGAATGACAACAATCGAAAAATATGTTTATTTTTTAAATAACGTCTTTATTTCACGTTATAGGTCACACAGTGCACTACACGAATAAGAGTACGACTATATGACGGAAACAACTTATCAGTTTCATCGGTAAACATGTTTTTCTTACATAACAATTTTATTTTTCAACGAAGCGCAACTTGTGTGAACGGGTTGTGAAGGTGGCCCCCCGGATTGTTCTAAAGGTTCGACTTGTTGATTAAATTCTGAACGTAACTCCTCGGTCTTCCGTGCAGGACTACGTGCATAAGTTAGGCGCCTATCAGTAGACGTTTTGTCAGATATGATTTGGACTAAAACAGTTCCACTTTTTTTATCTTATCCGCATTGCTTAATTTGTATATCCTTCATTATCGATATTTAGCAACATATCCATACTCCTTTTTGCGTTTAATGGAAATGAAATTTAATTTGATGGGAAATATTATTATTATCATTTTTTTTAAATTACGGATGGCCTTTACTTTTTGAAAGTGGGGTACGTCTTCCATTTGAAATGAAAACTGAGTTTTATTTGATTCAATTGATGTCACGTAAAACCCATTAAGTTCTACAGTTAGATATGTCTCACAATAAGCTTTAAAAAGACAGGCTTAAGAGCAACGTAAACGTTTGAACAAGTTCATTCGCTAGCAACGGTAAAAACCAAAGATCAAGTAAATCACAAAACCGTGCCCTCCTAAAATTTTAACGCCATAAAAGGTCGGCCTACGCAACCCATTGCCCTCTCTGTTATGCTCAGTCACGTTGAATTGTATATCGTATTTGACCTTTATCAATTTCTATTTGTTTGATGATTTATCAAGGTACTTTTATCTCAAGAGTCCTTTAAATCTATAATTCAAATGCTTACGTGACATGTTTAGGATTCGTTCTGCCCTTAGCAACCGCTGCGACACCAGCTCAATTTAAGCGACTATGGTCGATCACCTTACGTAATAAACGGTAATTTCTGGCTATCGATTCTTTTCCATTTGGGTGCAAGGGGATTTGAGTGTAACTAATACGCTTTATAATATTATTCTATTTCATTAAATCCTGAACTTTCTTTACAAATTGCTGAAGATCAAGAGGATTGCTTAAGAATCTAGAAGTGCTTAAAGGGTAACAAGAGTGGACATCGTAATGGGCTTCTATTTACTGTTTTGGACCATGTTTGCAGTGCATTGCCCAGTACATGTCTACCGGAGGCTTACCTTTCATTTCAATGGTCTCCCCTTTTTCGGGTCTCTTGTACATTTTCTCCATGCTCTCAGGTTGATGTTTGAGTTCCTTTATTTTCAGTAAAATCCGCAATTTTCTTTCATTATCTTTCAGGTCGCTACGTACTTGACTAAGGGTCCGTTTGTGCCTGCCTAGTATGGTAAATGCAGCTTTTTCTGAACTGCGATGCTGTTGAGACTGTCTCTCCAATTCGAACAGTTGGACATACGAGCCTAGCTTTTCGTTTTTCAGCGCGTTAACTTCTCCATTTAATTTGTCCATTCTTCGCTGGAGGCTCTGCACTTCTTCGTACGTGATTTTCTCTGCTTTCATGGCCTCTCGCAACACTGGGGAATTCGGCGGCATCATGGCCCTATAATCTTTAATCTGTCTTTGTAAATCTTGTAATTTTCTTTTCTTTTTCAACAGTGAATTATCCAGCCTTCCGAAATTTTCCCGTGCTGTCAGCTGTCGTCTGCGAAACGTCGTCTGCTCTTCCAGTTTTTCTTGCACCTTTATTTCTGCCTGCTTTGCGGAGTACGAACGCCTGGTCGCCCTGATTGTAACAGTGTCTTTGCGGTTATTTATGTGCTTGATTTCCTCTTTAAAACGCAAGCGTTCATAGTTTAGACGAATGATTTCGTTTTGCAACCTTCTGGAGTAGCCTTCGTCTGACTCGAGGAGTCGTCTCGCGGGATGGCATATGTTCAGAAATTCTTCTATCGTCCCCTCCATGTAATGGGCAACTTTATCATATTCCTCCAGCAGTAGCGGCATGGAGGCACGGAGCTCTTCTAATTCTTTGTTCAGTGCGTCCACATGTTCAAGAGTTTCGTGAAATTTGACTTTGAAGGCGACAATTTCGTCCTCGTATTCTTTGACCGGCGACAGGTCCGAGCTGTGCGTTTCCTCGACAAAACTAACGCAACATTTTTCTAAATGAAAGAACACGGAGTCCTTCATCTTCTTTTGAATCCGCGTTCTGAAATCACGAAATGCGGAATCTCTGTTACACGTTTGTTTCAGCTCTTCTAAAGTCGGATCAGTTCCAAATTGTTGTTGGATTTTTTCATTGTCGTGGTTCTCTGTGTACAGAATATTAGCGAACTGCTCCACACTTAACGTGCCCGTTTTGGTATCAGTTTTTAAGGAACACTTAAAGAGTAATAGATTGTAGAAATCCAGCCATTTGGGGGAGGCATCCGTATCCAACTTCCTCAGCCAGGTTTTACGAAAGGCTATGAGCTGACGTTGGACATCGTGTAGAGCAAGAAGGACCTTCCGTCGCACCGAGTCCACTGTCAGTGGTAGAGGGGGCTCGGGGAGCGAAGGTGGGGGAGGCGTCTTGGGGGTCTTAGGGACCTCGTTATAGGTGGGTCTGGTCCTGAAACCCATTCGGGCCTTCCTTCCGCTTGGCAAAGTGAGCATGTCGTGTGATGAGGTAGCTGTTGGTAATGCCGACTGGCGAATATAGTGATTATCCACCTTGGACGATTACTACCAGTCCATCTCAATTCAAAGAGATTTCCTACAGCATCTGGAATAAAAATATAATAAATAGATAAATAAAAACCATGTTTGGTCAGGTTTTCGCTATGTTCATAAATGTTATATCATATCTCACCAATTATGTACCATTAGTGCCTTTGCATCATTTGCACCAGCATATCCAAGTTGACTTAGAAACGAACTCTTCCTCCTACCAACCGCGTACCCGGCGAGTGTTCTTTACTCCATATTTTTAACATAATCTCGCAAATTTCTCCTCAGACTTAGCAGACATGTATAGTGGAGTCCTTAAAACGCTAAATATAAAATATGTCTCACCTTCGAGCGGCACGAGGTCGAAACTATATACTTTATCGCCTTTCCTCTTTTCTAATCTCAGTCGCGCAGTGGCGAGGTCTTAGTACACACACTCACGCTAGCAGTTGACAGGTAACTCGATATCGGTTAAATGCAAACACACTCCATTCAATTAACCAATACAACTAACATAGGTTACACCAAGGTGGACCACAACTTTGTTTTGTTCCAATGTAATCTGTTGTAAATCTCTGCACAGCCATTCTTAACCTTTTTTCACTTTTTCTTTGATACGAACAACAAAGAAGAAACATTTGCTTTGCTTTGTTAGTCACGACCTATTTCCCTATTGATCTCTATGTATTATATCGACTGTACCTCAACAACTGGTAGGAAAATACGGGTTCGCGTTAATGTTTATATCAATAAAATCTGAAGTTTTGTAAACAAACAAGGGCTTTGTTCGCTTTTAAGCTTTCGGGTTGTTCGGATCCCTTCATAAAGGAAGTGTACACACAAAAATGATAAATGTAAATAAGGTTTATTATGAGATTTAGCGGATTTCTTTTTATCGCAGTGCTTTCATGCTCCACAAATTTGGAAACTAATTCGACTGTAAAATGAACGTGCTTTGGCACCGGCAACTCAATAAATCATTGACGTTGTTGAATTCAAAGTCATTTGACACCGTTGCCACGCATGTTAACACGCATGTTATATATTTCTATTAATTTATGCGCCCCGGATTTCATTTTCGCGCTACATTTATTATTCAGCAAAGAAGGATATTTAGAGCGTTTCTTAATATCTGCCATCAGAAAAATTAATTAAAGCCTTATAAAGTGATTATTATTATTATTTTTGTTGTTATTGTTATTATTATTATTCAATTTTCAAGTCAAGAACTTTATCTTCCTCGCAAAGTTGTGGAATTAACTTTCTCAAAGTTAAGAAATATGACTAAGATCGCAGAATTCTACCCTTGTCTCTAGAGGCTTAATTCCACAGAGTATAAAATCTTACGTTCAAACACAAACGGGCTGTGGGTAGGTCAGTGTCTAAATTGATGTGATTATCTTCCGTTAACGCTTAAAACAGGCACAAACCTAAAAGCTATCACAGCTATTCAGTCTACAGAATACAGTTATCCCAAAATCACTTCCTGTAGAGGTAACGTCTTGTTACATTAAAGGAAGAGTTGGGGAAGCAATGGCGATATTAAGATGAAAATTTATCGCACTTTTCAATGTGGAGACTGCAAGTGGTCCCTGCTACCCGATTCTTATAATTATGTACGTTACATTTCTTTCTAATGACTTAAGTGATATAATTGTATAAATTAACTGTATATAAAAATATTATATAAGGCTTTACCTTTACCTCTTTACCTCCGGTGCATTGTACGTAGACTTCAGCAACAATCGTTTTTCACTCAAACGGCGTTCAATATAATACGATGGTTTACCATAGCAACACTGATGCGGTAACACGCAACACTGTAATTGAGGCGAGCTAGGCAAAGTTAATGACTTCATTTGCAGGCGGCCTTTAAAGAACATGATTAATTACATTAAATTAAGCCTCCTCAGGGGCAATAGAGTTATTCGACGCACACGTTGAAATGATCCTGCAAAGAAACCCGCACCTGTGAAAGAAGAGGACTTTCGCACACGGACAAGTGAAGTTCTTTCGAGATGATAAGGGGAGGACTTGAAATATGAAAAACGTGTTGAGGATTATACTAGCATCCTTGAGTCGCAATGGGCACGCGTCCCTCACTTAGCTTCTCAGGTACCGCCCCCCGCCCCCCCCCCCCTTCTCAGGTCCCCCCCCCCCCCCCCACTAAATAAAAAAGCAACGAGTAATACAAGACACAGCCAAACTTTTCTTTAAAAATATCTGTGTCCTGTATATTACAGTTATGTTGTCCTTGTATACTGTTTTATATTTTATATTGCTTGGCAAGATTTGCGCGCTTAGATTCATTTTAATGCAAACTTAAGGGGGAGGGGACATGCAAAGTGTGTAACCGATGAAAAAAGAACGTGCTTTCTTTCTAATATGAAAGGATGTGTTAGATGAGACGATTGCGTTTTGATGGCAACTTTATTTTGATTGTGGTAGTTGCGCCTTTTACATCCAGTGTACGTCTCTCTCTCAGTCCCTCCCCTTTTCATACTAATAATAATAATAATATTTATTTATAGTCTAAAATCCAACATGTGTTCAGTAGACTTTACAAAAATTATAAAATTCAAATTAAAAGAAAAATATTGCTAATGGTTATAAGATTAAAAAAAAAAGGAAAATGATTATAGAAAAATATTAAAGATTAAATATTAGGATATATAAAATGGATAAAAAAGGGGAAAATTAAAACTATGACTAAGAACAGTTTTTCTTAAGAAGTGTTTTTTCAAGAATTTAAAGATAATATTGTTTAAAAAGGTGGGTTTTTAGTTCCTTTTTAAAATGTCCAGGGTCCACAATTTGTCTAAGACTGATGGGTAAAATATTCCATGCTTTTGGTGCTGCAAATTTAAAAGCTTTATCACCGTATGATACTACGATCTTATTAAGTTTTGAACGTCACAAAAGTTAACTGAAACGTGATTTCAATTGCTTTTTATGTACAATAATCATTTCCAATCAACCCTTAACTTAAAGGTGACATTTAACATTCTCATCCCAAGGGCGGATCCAGGATTATTTGAAGGGGGGGGGTCCGGAATGGAGGTTTCTGCTGCGAGGCCGACCATCGCCCCCTTGGTGTAGGGTTGGGGGGGCCTGCTCAAGAATCCCGAAATTTTTTGGATGTTTTGGAGAGCAAACAGCGGCTTTTTGTACGGTTTAGAACTATAATTTGGTTAATCAAAAATATAATTTCAAGAGGTGAATATTGGTGCGATATATTTTTTCAGAAACCCCTTTAAATCCGACACTGCATCCCACGCCTTCGTGAAAAAAAATCACTAGCAGTCGAAGCACTGGGTTAAAATTGATTAATTAGCAAACGGTGCTATATGCATGCACGGCAAACCCTATAACAGCAATCGACTGCTTCATTATGTGTGCGCTACGTTTTATCGTCACTAAAACAGAGGGAACCAAACCAATTATTCATTTCCCCATTAACGTCGTTTGTTCGCGCTATAGTTGTAAACAGCCCATTAATTATTGAACCAGACCATACAGCGTTCCCAAAGATCACAAAAACAGAAAAAGAGGCCCAATAATATTCCCCGTCAATCCAAAAGGGACACAGAACGCACGCTGTTGTTATCTCTTTCGTAGAAGCCATTTTTTGCATTTCATAGTTTTCATCTCACGGCCCTACATAGTGTGCAGATGTTGGTTAACTTCCGCGAATACATATGTAAAACCTAGAGCAAGACATCGATCCCTTGTCGAGTTGTGACTATGGACGGATGTTGAGTTGGTGTTCAGGGACAGAGTCGATAACAAAATCGATGGGGAACAATGTAACGGCGTTCTAAAGATCACACAACAAGGATACCGTACCTAAAACAGACCCGATACCATAACACATGGCCCTGCGTGATTTTAGATAAGCCTGCAGCAAGTTGTCACTCATACAATACCCTATCCATATCGCCAACAACAGCCTTAAAAACGAGGTAAGTAAATGTTTATTCTCTTTTGCAGAATTTTTAATTGTGGGTTTACATGTTTATCAATTCCCATGTTTGTTTTGTGAATCACGAAAAAGATAAAAGTTACAGCGATCAATTTGACAGCTTTAGTTTAAAATAATCTCTCGAGCTTTGTTACCACGTTGAATGTGCTGAACTTCTAGCATTTGCATGTGGAGCAATCGCTTTTGCCTCATACTTTCTTTTTTTCTTTTTTTACGAGAGTTAAATTGATGTTAACCATGTTTTATAACTTTCCTGAAAGCAATCCTCCATTATTTTGCAGCCCTGTGGTGAGTAATGTAAAGGGTTTTTTTTTCTGAAAAGCATACCGTTTTACCACATTGACATAGAACCACAATCAAACCTTTATTCAGAGGTGACCTTTGCTAAGTCAGAGAGGCGGTCAATTATACCCTCTCCCCCACCAACGGATCTGAGGTTATGAACACCAATAACACTTATGACTTAACACTCAACGGAAAAAGTTTAATCATTATTTTATTAACCTGCATTAAGTGCAATGGAAAAACCTTTTCAGATAAAATCGGTCGAATTCGAAGTTCTCAGATTTTTCGTGCTGACATGCAAGCCACAATGTCCGTTATCACGCGTGACATAGCGTGCGTTTTCCACCTTTTTATTATAGTTTACTCACCGAAATTGCCCATTGTTAGTTGCAGATGAACTTGTCGATCTTTAATTTGGGGTGTAACTGTTAAAGAGACAGAAATAAAGTTTTTAAACCATATACTTTAACTAATTGTTCAGGGGGCAAGTTATGGGATTTTTCACGGAAATAATGCAGGTTTCCCTAAAAATGGCTGATCATGGTTATTACTGTTAAAGATTACTCATTTATGATTTTAATGTATCACAATTTTCCCAATTTGTTTTAGAATTCCAAATGTTTTAGATTCATAAGTCGGGTTCCGTCTCTGTAAAACATGGGGTGCGGGTCAAGTGCGAACTCGGTTCAAGCCACGCCAGCACTGGTCATCGTAGGGGGAGAGGAACAGATTGGAGAAGACTGGACACGGTCCACCAAGATAGAGGTTTACAGGTTGCTGGGGTAAGTATAGTTTTTTAAATTATAAGCCTGGGGACCACAGCAAACGTACTGGAGATGAATACACATTATACATATTTGCCATCCAATAAAACTGTCAGAAAATATCGCAACCTCAAATACATTTTCGGTGATAAAATATGTACGTTTTCTGAACCAGATATAAAGGTATAGACACGAAACACATTTGGACGCCTTTTACATTTCGCGTTGTTTTAATTGGATATGAAGTAAACGTTGGAGTAAAAAAAAAAAAAAAAAAAAAATACCCATCATAATAACGGGAAATCATAGTTTTCTTATCGAGTCTTGATCTAAAAAATAACGATGACTATGTATAACTTTTTTATTCTAACTGCGAAATTACTAACTTTTTACAGCTGCACGTTTTTGAAATCGTTTGATCTTCCCGGCAAGAACGGACATAATTTGATTGGTGGCTACTCGGTATCTGGACATAGCAGCAAGCCGCTGATTTTTATAACAGGTAATGTAAAGAAAATAATCCCTATATGTTATGGATTCCAGGCTACTGTACTTTTTCACACAGAAATAAACCCACATCAGTGTATTTTTGCATCCATGTTTCGCGCGATTTCTTTAAATACCACGGGCAAGATCAAGGGCTGTTTCTGCAGTACTCTGTTTCGATATGTTAAGGATTTACAAAATTTAAAGAAATATGTCTGCTATTTTTAAAAAGTTCTCTTGGAGAAGAAAAACGCTGCTTCACTACCGCATTCTTTGCGATTGCTACTGTAGTGAGTTTCGCCCTGCAGTCACAATAGCCCCAAACAAAATTTCGTGCTTGACGTGTGTTTGCCGTACCAACTGAATTCTTAGTACATTTTCATTAATCAGGACGACCGTCCACTATGCAGCAATATCTGGCTTTATATTCATTTAGCATGGGGGATGTGAGGGACATATGGAATAATTTTAGACTTACCACGTTTTTAACCGCGTCAAACAAAGTTATGATAAATAAATAAAGTGAAAACTATCAGCAAAAGTTTAGTATTTTAGGAAATCTTTACAGCACATCACGGAAGAGAAGGAGACATAATGTCAATAGTATCATGCCCCCTGGGTTAAATAAACGTATTTTTCTAAACTAATTTATTACCACATTTGAACTTCTCATTTAGAATTTCCCATTAAAACTTATACCGCCCCTTTTTTTTTTATCTCACTACAGGAGGCTACTATAAAGAAGACAAGGAACCAACACAGGAATTCTGGAAGATAAATCTCTCCCAGTCTCCAAATGAAAGCTACATGGAACAGCTGCCAGACATGCCTGTGGCCATGAAGGATCACAAGTCCTGTATTCTGACTTCTGACAACGAGGCATTCCTTTACATAGTCGGCAACAAAAATATCAGTCTACGATTCAATTTTTCCAGCGAAACCTGGGAGCATCTTCCCAAGTTACCCGAGGAAATGGCAATCATACAAGGTCTCCATTATGTAGCAGGCATATTGTACTGTATGGGTGGCGGCTCCATGTACTCCCACAAGCCATCAGAGGGGATAAAGGGATCATGGAACATGTGCATAGATGATAACAGTTTCCCACATGGACTTACAGCAGATGCTGCAGGAAAAATATACACTTTTGCAACTGGAAAATCTCTCCACGAGTTTGAGCCCCAGTCTCGACTTCTCTCCAAAGTCTGCGATATTAATCCACTGGACATACAGGGTCATGGGGCAATGGTGGGATTTGGGGACAGGACCAATTCATATCTGTATTTTACTGGAGAACATAAAAAGGACACAAAAGTGGATGTGAACAGGGTGATAGAGTTTGATTTAGAAATGCATAGAGCTGTTGTTGCCGGGTACCTTAAACATAAGAACCATGGCCATATTGGGCTAATTGTTCTTATGTAGACAACTCCTCGTTTTATACAAGAGGATTGTGACTAAGCTTGAGAAAATTGTTGTATTTTGCCAACATGTTTAAGAACCTTTGTGAAAAGGGTTTCATACTTCAGAAGCTGAATGGAACTAGAAAAACTTTCTTCTGAACACAAATAGATAGTATTACACGGATTGAAGTTTTTTCTTTAACTTTTTATAAATGGATGTCATTTTCACTATCATTTCACTTTATCTTTTCGTTTTGAAAATCTTTTTTGTTTCAATAAATTTACTTATAATATTGTAAACATAATGAAAACCACAAAAATTGACATGAAAATGAATTTCATTCTTTAAGAACAAAAGATTTCTCTTCACTGTACTGTAATAAATATGTATAATTATTCCTCCATAGATCATGTACAATAAATATGATGCATTCAACAGCACTTCCTGTGCTAATTCAAAACTTGTGATGGTTCATTTATAATTCACAATGTTGTTATACTTATGGATAAAAATGACTCAATTGATAACAATGAAAATATGCAGCAACAAAGTTTCCATTTACCTTTATAAATGCAGTCTTTTTGTCATTGTTTACCTACTGAATGCAAATGCTGCCTCCCTGTCTCAACGATTCTTCAAAATTCGCTTTAGATTCTTTGCTTTTTCAAACAAGCACCTGTAAAATCCGCATTAAAGTCTCCAAGTGCATGTATACATGTACACTAAGTGATAAGCATACCATCTGCTGAGATGAATTACATCTAGTCAACCTCTAACGCATCTTAGACCCATGATGTAAGCACGGCTCCCATGCCAAATGCCAGTAAAATTGAGGTCATAATATTTTGTGCATTTCTTCTGGTTACTGGTCACTGTTTCTGCTTTAGCCCAAAAGATTCCTAGACCTTTGGAGATTTAAATTCTTGGCCAAGACTGCTCCCAATTCCCATATACCTCTGGCATTTCTTGAAACCATTTACATGAACAACTTCCATCTCTCATATTGTAAAAACTATGGTGATGGCAACCATACAATTTTTTAAAATTTAGTTGTCATTTTATATAATCCAACTCCAGTATTTCCTGGAGGACCTCCACAGATCAATGTCGCTATACGTGCACCATTCCATACAAAAATCTGAACACAGGGTTAAGAAATTTAGGCTTGAAAGATTTTAAATTACTCTCAAATCATATCTATGATTTTATACTCCTTGTTTAGTTAATGCCTAATGTTCAATAGAAAGTTCTTATCTTAAAAAAACTGTACACTGTTAACATTTTCTGTTATATATATATAACTTTAAATTCAGGACACTTTAGGGAACATGAAATACAAACATTTTGTTTTTTACTCACCCAATTAATAATTGAAAAGGATACGTCCAAAATAAAATATATGTCTGGAAGGAAAATCTGTCAAGGAAAACAGAAGAGAAGTCAATATTAACAAGGTTACCTATATTTTCTTTCTGCTATATATTCATTGTACAGATTGTGTTAATCCCCATACATATCTCCAGTAATCTAGGATGCAAGTTACATTTGTAGGTTAACAATGAAAATTTTTGAAAGCAAAAAAAAAAAAGAAAATAGTGTAAAATAAGTATAATATTATCCATGTTAACAAGGATACAAATAAACCTCCTAGTAATCCTCCTGTAAAGAAACCTATTCTGGATCTGAAATATCTGTGCCACTGGGATCCTGCCTTCATCAACAGCATCACCTAATAAAAGAGAAAAGACTATATTCTGTATCAAATATCAAAATCAAATGTAGCAATGACAGCTAAAACTATATTCTGTATCAAAATCAAATACAACTGTAAGAAACCTTAACAACATTAAATGACCCCCCCTTTTTTTTGGGGGGGGGGGATGTCTTTAATCTTTCTATTTTTTTGAAATTATAAATTTCAATTTTTCAAAAAAAAAAAAAAAAAAAAAAAAAAAAAAAAGAGGATTTACAATCCTTGCTATAATATGCTACACTAGGCAGTTATTAGGGACAATGTTCAAATTCTATTTAAAAACAAAAATATTATGTGCAAAGAAACATACTGATAAAATGAATGCAGTAACAAAGTAAAAAATAAATCCAAACAATCCAGTCAGTCCCAGTATCCCTGCAGTAGACCCAGACAGCGCAGACATCGATGTTCTACAGTAATCCAAAACAGCTGCATTCTGACGCATGGACACCTCACTGTAGGCTGTTGGTTCTTTTAATGAAAACAGAAATAAATGTTATGGGCATTGAAGAGTGATCTCAACTTGTTGAAAAATATTATTATCACACAAGACGTACAAAGGAACCGGCGGCAAGGAGTTTTATGGTGCTCGACTACCTACATATATGGCATGGCAAATTCCTTGATTATCTTGCAATAAATTTAGAAACCAAGATTATCAAGTGTACGTCGTTGGCAGATATGTGCCTTTTATTGTAAATGCCCTGTTTTTATCAAATCAGGGCAGAGTTAATTACCTTTTCTTGTGGACCGTCTCGGTGTTTTCACTGCCATGGTGGTCGCCATTTTTATAAGATGCGGAGTGAATGTTTTGGAATCTATTCATTTTGAAATTTCACAACGTAAAACTTAAAGTTTTGATAAAATTTAATGTTATATCGATTAATTTATAACATAAAGTAAATATAGATATAACTGGAAGTAGAAATAAAGACCAAAACATTCAGCTGCGGAATTGCTCCTGCGCAGGATACCTGCGCAGAATTCAAAGTGAGCAAGGGGGGCAAAAAAGTTTATGAAGTATTTTATTCAGTTGCTGTTCATTGAGAAAGCCCTGTAAGGAAAGCGTAAAGTAGAGTGTAGGCTACACACAAGAAGGTAAGGACACTTAACGAGGGCACTGACAATGAACATCCAGTGGTGAAATCGAAAGCACAATCGCTGTGAGAAATTAGTTGAGAGTTGTCGTTGGATCATGATTGTGCTTGGAGTATGCTGCACAGCAACTGTTTTAGAAGAAAGCAACAAAAAGACGACATTCATTCAAGCCAGTGCTTGTAATAAAGTTTCCAAATTAACGGGCAATGTTTAACATGTTGCACAATTGCTGTAAATATCCACATTATAGTGCATGTCATTCATTATGTTTAGACAAAAACTTTATGATATAGTTGTAATAAGGAGAGCTTGAACTGAAGCTGAGTGACTGTGGGGGGCGTCTAAACTCGAGCCCTTTTCACATTCCATTATATCTTAGCGATATAGCATTGCCATTACATGTTGAAATGTTCTACCATAAAATTATGCTACAGAGGAGTTTGCTTCCTTTCACAAATTAGCTTTCTGACGTTTAGGAGAAAGTTAATCAGTTGAGCTTGTTATGCACAGCCTGACAGGGGTGGGGTTAGGTTTACTATCCAATATGATAGCCAGCCTTTTCAGTTTCTGAACAGTATACATTGTAAATAAAAGAAGTTAGTGCACAAGTTGGGTGAGTGATTACATATGATAAATATGTATTTAAGGTCTCTGAAAAGTTAACATGCAGCAAAGGTATACAGGTTTAAAACTGTGTTGTGAAATTTAATCATTTTGTGATAACACTCATTTCAAGTCATTAGCTTGTTAAAAACTAGTCAACAGTCATGTCTTGTTATATGTCATTCTTTGTATTAAGGTATATGGAATGCAGTGGGGTGAGTAATAATGAAGTGTTAAAGGTAACACTGAAGGTCTCTGACATGTTAACCTGGTGTCGATGAGTCATTTTAGACTTAATCAGAAATTTGTGTGTGTGGAAAAGATGCACAAAATTAAGAAAGTACCTACAGGACTTAATGTTAAAAACATATAAAAAACAATTTGAATTGATTAATTGCACATGTTAATTTTTTCATAGTTTTTGACATTGTGACGGTGAGTGGACCCTTGGGATGCCTTTAACACAATGTTAGATGAAATGAATATGTGTATGTGCCATTCCCAAAAGGTCCTTTTGTAGTCAACCTTTTTTGCCGAGAGGGCCATTTGAAGTAATATGGTACTCTAAGTAATATATCAAGTTTTTTATAGGTTTTGTTTTTGCAACAATCCTTATCTTTTGGTTATATATTTTTGAAAGGTTTCTTTAAGTGAAACAACATGATAATTATAAGATAATTTATTGTGAAACCAGCTTTCATTAAGAGTAGCATTAGTGATTTGGCAAAACTGGAAACTAGGCCAAGTGTGACAACTGTTTTCACCATGTGATAAAAATATATTTCAGCTGTCAAAATAGGGGGAAATACCATTAAAGTGAAAAAAATCACTTGAGCAAAAGCTGTTTGAAATCAAACTTGTAAATGAATACCTTTTTTTAATGAATGACAAGCTTACCATAAGAAAAGAAATTTATCTTTATTAGTAAAAGATCCCCATCATGTCATAGGAGAAGATCACACTTTTTCCATTCATGATATCATCTAGTTCTATCTGTACACTTATAAGTAAGTTATGACTTTATGGCCAATAAGAATATCTGTTTTTGAAAAATAATTCCTTTTCGGTAAGACTTTTTTGGTATAGATTTTAAAGCTCAACATGGAAATCTGTATCTGTGCACTTATCTTATTGCTGTATCTCATAGCTATATATAATCATATTACTGTGAAGTTATGTCAATTATGCATGATTTAACTTTGGTTGGTTTTTAGATAATTGTTTTTCTTGATCAATTAACTTTTTGTCTTACAGGCTCGCAGCTGACATTCGATCACTGTTGCAGTTGAAGCTATGTCAGTCATCTTACTTAGGCATCACGCATGCAGTGAGCAGTCATAATTCTTCCTGGCGGTAAGTCTTTTATGAACTTTCTATGCCTGATTCTGGCCTCAGGGTTATGGTACGGAATTGACCTTTTTGGACAAAATTTATTTTGTGGTAAAGAAAATGATTTTGCTCATTTGTTGCCATTTTGTCCATGATTTTGCTGATTGTAGATTAAGTCAGAAAATGATATAAGATTTACAGATGATGGTCTGTCAGAAAATCTTTGCCAGCTGATCATATGGTAGGTGACATCTTTGATTTATAAACTTATATGGCACAACTCTGACACAGGCTGCTGCTGTTGGATACATCTCTGTTTTTGTAATTAACTGTTTTCACCACTTTAACACCAATTTTGATGACATGCATGTTTGGTGAAAATAACAAGGTGATGGTATATTTTTAATGTTGGAGTGATGGCAGTGATGTTTATTACTG